TCTCTCTCTCTCTCTCTCTCTCTCTCTCTCTCTCTCTCTCTCTCTCCCTGTCACCCCCCCCTTACTCTCCTTTATCCTTTTCATGGCTCACTGGTTATTTAAGGTGCCGGACCATACGTTCTTATACTATCTCTGAGCGTCTAGGTGTTGGATCAACACCCCTTTTGACTGATGAGCCAAGTGGCTTGGAAGGAGAACACCTGGTGGCTCAGTAACTGTTGTGAGAGGCTCGAAAGAGGGAGAGGCGAGATCTTAAAGTGAATTATACCCTACACGTACTCTTTTGAGTGTTTGAAGTCTTTGTCGTTGGCCAGTTGTTAGGGTGTACATATTTTTAATTTTGGAAACGAAGCATTTGACGGTGCTTGCGACTATATAAGGTCATATTATGAGCGCACGGGACACATTACACATTTTCAGTAGGTAGGACATTTTCAATTTTGCCCAAGTGACGACCGAAACCTACTGTTATCGATTTTGGACCACCAACAGATCTTTAAAGTGCACAACTTGCGTGCGGGACCTCCGAGTTTTTAGCCCTTATCTGAGAAAGCTAGGTGTTAACTCTTACCTATCATGCTACAAGATCAGGGGTGTGGCTGACTAAGCCCATAAAGCAACATTTAATAGTGGAGGGGAAAAACCCGTTTCATTCTTTTAATAATAATTTTGTACCTACATTATGTAACTTTTCTTCTTTTTCAAACTTCTAGAATTTGAAATTCGTCGAAAGATTTCTTGAGAACATGCAACCAATACCACAGATTGAGAGGCTTCAATTAAAACGACAAAATAAAAACAACGCAAATTTGGGCTCAGTACATTTTAACAATTTGTTTGTTTGTATGTTTGTTTGTTTGTATGTTTGTTTGTTTGAGTAAAGAAAAGTACATCGACACAATAATGGTCATTCAGTACTGAGGAAAATTAGGTAAAGCAGGCAGACATAAACAACAGAGGTGAAAGTAAAGGTGTAAGGCCTACCAGTGGCGCCCTCCAACCACCGGTACATTTTGACAGCTGACTGACAATGTGCAGATTCATCATTTGTGGAGGTGCACGTCCTGTTATAATTATTGGTATGTCGGAGAGTCTAAATCACACCCCCACCCTTCCTTGCATCCTCCCTCGAGCGCCCCCCCCCCTCGCTCCCCCCTCCCCCAACCCTCTGGAAGTGGGGATTTAATCAATCACACCCACTGAAGACAGTAGTGGTGGGCAAAATCCGGATAACATGTCCAGATAACCGGATAATTCACAGTGAAACATTATCCGAATTTAGACTCTTAAACTGTCTACATCAACCCGGTGGCCGAAGTGGGTGCACCCATTAGTTGATGTGGTTCTAACCCGTTTGATGAAGCGGTTCATAACACATTTAATTGCCGAAGAGGTGCACTAACATAAAATCGGATTTTTCGAAAGCAACTCATTGCCCAGCCATAGAAGACAGACGTATAGCAGATACAACCCATCTCAAGGTGGGAACACCTTTCCCTCACTAGGCGGCAAGACTCTTGGCTAATAACACGACACCCTGACCTCTCGCAAAAGAAAACGAACTCAAAAGAAACTTCCTTTTTAAAGTTTAAAGAGTGGAAGTGTAAACAAATTTAGAGAGATAAAAAAAATTGCGTCAACGAGAACGTTGATCTGTCCTGGTTAAGCCACGAGCCTGAGATCAATAAGGTAGCCTATATAATATCACACACAGAGAAGGCACCCAAAAGGCAGTGCTACTCCAGCTCGGTTCAATATGTGTCATGACGCAGGGGAATCAGGCGCTCGTAAATTTTCGGGGGACATCTGAGATTATTAGCATTATCTTAAAGCTTGTTCATTTGTCTTGCTTTAGGTGAAAAAAGTATACATCTATCTTGAAGGGAAGAAGAGATATTTGCGATTGAAGGAGATGGGGTTCGCTTGTTGTCAGAGGTAGCGTGAAAATGGCCACCAAAGCTTGGCGACTCTAAAGCACAAGCGTCCTTGGAAACTGCAAATTAAAATTTTATTTTCCTTTGATTAACATTTTTCAGAAAAAAGAATCTTCATATACGTGTGTTTTTAAACGGGCTTAGTAGGTGTTGAGCCAGAAAAAAAGACATTCGAAAAAAAAAATTGCCCAACGACCTGATAAAAACCGCAGTTCCGTTGATTTCATTATTTTGACGAGCGCCTGATTTCCGCGCGGTGCCTCACATATCTTATCTCAGAAAGGTGCCGAGAAAACTCTTTGAGAGCTCAACCGGGAAAAAGGTGGGGCCGACATGAATGAAAGGTGTGCTTTATTTTACACCTGAAGAGCGTTTCCGACATGACGTTCGAGGTACGGCCTGTTCGGAGATCATTTTTACCTGTGAAGCTAATAGGTTCGTTCTTGTGGGCCTGAGCGGTGAGAGGGGGGAGAGTTATGACCCTGATTCTGCTTGTGTTTGTTGTTTCTTTCTTTCTTTCTCTCTCTCTCTCTCTCTTTCTTTCTTTCTTTTAAATTGGATTAATATTTGACCTGTGCTTAAGTTCTTTCTTTCATTTTTTCTTTCTTTCGTTCTTTTTTTTCTTTCTTTCTTTCTTTCTTTTAAATTGGACTAATATTTGACCTGTGCCAAAGTTCTTTCTTTGATTTTTTTCTTTCATTCTTTCTTTCTTTCTTTCTCTCTTTCTTTCTTTCTTTCTTTCTATCTTTTAAACTGGACTAATAATTGCCCTGCGAAAAAGTTCTTTCTTTTTTTTTCTTTTTTACTTTCTTTGTTTTATTCAAAACTGGACTAATACTTGCTCTGTGTCTCTTTTGTTTTGTTAATTGAAATCTGTTGTGCATTCATCTAAATGTGTTTGCTTTCTTCATGGGTGAAATCTAAAAAAGCTATTAGGGTGATGGTGGTTTTCTCCCCCCC